CCAACAGCGTGTCCTGCATGAGAACGGAGAATCGGTGAGTTAGGTTTACAGAATAATATAAGGTTCAAAGTTTCTTAATCCTACTTACACAGTTCCCTCGAAGTCTAATCCGATCGATGAGGATAAAGATAGAGATTGGACGAGCCGATGCTTTTCTTCCGACAACTTTCACACACTTTTCCTTTGCCCGTAAAAAAGCGTAAAAGATCCAAAGTGTATCAAAAGTTGAATCCGCCAGATGGCGCGCCCGTCGTATCTTTATGGAAGTTTAAATCGTTTAAATAAATACGAGATTTAACAATAACTATTTATTCTGATTAATGTATGACTTTGGTTGATATTTTCTACTATTTTATTTTCTTCTTTTTTCATTTTCAAATCAAAATGTTAAACTGCTGTTAAACTCGCTTTTAAAAAAACGCGCGCCGCCATATGTTCCTAACCTCAAAATCTCCGACTTAAATGTTGTTCACACGGAAGAAAAAGGAAGAACGAGACAAGATTTATTCTCTGATCGCGGGCCAATCAATTGCAATCGAACGTCAATCGGATTGTAACGGTTCACCTGCAAGTTTATCACAATTTGTTCCGAAAGAAGGAAGGTCAGATCGATACGTCGAGGTGTAATCGATCGTGGTTCCAATCCGGCGAGTCATCCACGATCGATCGACCGTCACGTCGGTCATCGATCATCTCCTCTCGGGGATTAACAGTTTTTCTTTTTCTTTTTTTTTTTTTTTTACCGGTGACAAACTAAACGGACTGAACATTCTGTTGCAGCAAAAGGTGAAGTTCTGGTTCGCGACCGGCGGCGCCGGATTTTGCATCAGCAGAGCTCTCGCCATGAAGATGACTCCGGTCGCTGGGTAAGATTTTATCTTTCTCATTTCTTTTCTCTTTTTGTTGGAAAAAAAATTTCGTTCATTTTTTTTTTCTTTTTTATTGGTATTACGTTCGACTCGATTTGCAAAATGCTCCAAGACGTTTTAGAGTGATCAAGATTAATATTCGGACATATATAATACTATAAAAAAAAAATCTTCATATTTTATTATTTCATAAAAAATTGTATACAATTACAATTGATAACAATTTCCTTTCTTTCCTGTCTCAAAGTATTCTAAAATGCGTCCAAATTTTAGGTTAGGCTCAGGTTAGGTTCAGATTTGCAGATTTCCTGTCTCAAAGTATTCTAAAATGC